GGGCAAAGATTCCCGGGTTTTGTTTCCTCCAACTCACATTGAGCTCGATGATCCAGAGCAGGGAGATGAAGAGCAGGTCGAAGGTGACGAAGAGGCAGAAGGTCCTCCTCACATCTGAGATGACCTTCCTCTTCTCCGGGGACAAGAAGTAGGGGGAGAAGCCCTGGCTCTGGGAGAGGGAGGAGCTGATGGAGGCGATGGCTGGCAGGCTGCGTTCCAGGTCGTGCTGCAGGTCCGTGGGCTTGTTCATCCTCCGGGATCGGCACCGGGAACGTCGGCCGCGGCAGCGTCACCTGCGGGGGGACACCGGGGACACTCAGACACCCCTCCTGCCACCCCCCAGAGGCAAATAATCCCATGAAGATCAGATACTGGGAAGGAATTCCTCCCTGTGAGGGTGGGGAGGCCCTGGCACAGGTTGCCCAGAGAAGCTGTGGCTGCCCCAGCCCTGGAAGTGTCCAAGGCCAGGTTGGAGCAACCTGGGATAGTGGAAGGTGTCCCAGCCCATGGCAAGGGGTGGGACTGGATGGGCTTTAATGCTGTGACAGCAGAAAAAGGAGCCCCAAACCTCGCAGAGGTGCCATGGCAGAAGGAAAAGGGGCCACAGACCCCATGGAGATGCCATGGAAGCAGAAAAAGGGGCTGCAAACCCCATGGAGACGGTGTGACGGAACGAAAAGGGACCCCAAACCTCATGGAGACACCGTGGTAGCAGGAAAAGGGGCTGCAAACCCCACAGAAAGGCCGTGACAGGAGGCAAAAGGGGCCGCAAACCCCACAAAAAGATGTCATGGAAGCAGGGAAAGGGGCCTCAGGATGTTTCAGGAGCAGTGCCCAGGATCACCTCACACTTCCCTGTGCAGGGAAGGCAAAGCCTCGGGAGCCGAGGGCACAGATCCCAACCTGCACAGCCAGGACAGGACCCTGCTCCCCCCAGGGGTGGGATGGTGGGTCTGGTGCCCAGCTGGGCCAGGCAGAGCAGCAGGGAGGCAGCAGGGAAGGGGCTGCTTCGTGTCCCAGCCCAGGGCTGGCGGTGCCGGGCACACGCGGCCCCGGCACGAGCGAGGTGCTGGAATTCTGAGCCTGTTTTCCTGCAGCTGTGCCAAGCATTGTACTGAGATGTTTCCTCTCCGTCAGAGGAGCACAAGGAGGGCCCTGTGGAGCTGGAGCGTGACACGGGCACGGGAGACAAACACGGAACGAGGATGCCAGAACAGGTCGGACCAGGGATCTGTCAGTGCCACCTCCCAGTCACCCCCACAGCCTCCCTCCCTCCCAAACCCTCCCAAACCATCCTCTGGGATGTTCTGCCTCCCAAAAGAACCCCCTCCCGGACTGTTTGTGGCGTGAGCTCTGGGGCAGTTCCATGCCTGCTGGGATTCATCCACGACAGACCCCAACTGCAACAACCAGGGAAAAACAACACAGGGCTGTGCCCAGGCCTTTGGGAAGGGGCAATCCATGGGGGCAGGCGAAGCTGCCAAGCCCCCTGGACACTGGAGCACCGAGCACGGCCTGATTTGGGGAGATCTGGGGCTCATCTGGATCCCTGAGCCAGCGGCCCCTGCGTCCCATCCCCGGGGAGCAGCAGGGCCGGGAAGGGAACAAAGCTGGACTCCTGTCAAGTCCCTGCTAGTCCCTCTCTCGGAGGCGCTTCCAAAGGAGCTGGAAGCCCTGTCACTTCGGATCAGCCGCTCCAGGCGCCGGGCCCGGCTCAAAGTGACAAAAGTTAAGGACATCTGGGGGGGATAAATAATAAATCACCTCACGCCGGGGCCGCAGCCGCCCCCTCCCCCCCTCCTACAGCACTTTGCACTTAGGCAGCCCCCTCCTCCCAACTTCCACAGCGCTTTAAAATCACCCTGGGAGGCTCCAGGGACCCGATCCCGGGATGCCGAGGGGCCAGGGCAGGGGGTTGGGACACGGCAGGACATGGGGACACGAGGACACGACAGGACACAGGGATATGGGGACACGGCAGCCCTGGTGCAGCTCATCCATCATTAATCCCAGCCTTCCCAAGGAGGTTTAAGCTTGGTTTGGAACATACATCCCCCCCCTCCGCCATCCCAAACCATCCAGGCACCACGGATTCCCGAGGGAACACCACAGCACCGTGGGGCAGGAATGTTGGAAGGCTGAGAGCAGGGCCTGGATGAGAGGGAGCGGAGCAAGGCGGCTGTTCCTGGGTGGCAGATGAATTATTGAGCTCCCTGGTGCTGTATTATGCATTCCAGCATCCTCCGCATCCCGCTCGCTCCCGCAGCCGGGAATGGGGGGGGGGGGTGTCAGCCGAGGGTCGGGCTCTGCTCCCAGGGAATGAGGACGGGACCAGAGGGAGGAATTCCTTCATGGAAAGGGTGGTCAGGCACCGGAAGGGGCTGCCCAGGGAATGGTGGAGTCCCCATCCCTGGAATGTTCACCAAAAAAAAGCTGTGGCTGCGGCACGTGGGGATGTGGGTTAGTGGTGACAATTAAGGGTTGGACTTGGTGGCCTTGGAGGGCTTTTCCAGCCTAAATGACTCCATGATCCCGCTCCAGCAAGGGGCACACAGGGGGGACACTGCAGGGACCCCCCAGAGCTTCTCTGCCTCAAAAAAAGGGGATTTTTTGACTCTGAGGGAGGATTTTTGCTGGTGAAACCTCCTGGTTTGGGAATCAGGAGGCGACAGGGGCTGCAGGGACCAGGGGTGATTCCATATGGGCAGGGAATCCCAGTGGGAAGTGAGCATGGAAGAGAGGTGGAGGGTTGGGATCCTGATCCAATATCCAGCACCAGCAGGCAGGGAAACACCCCCAGCCCGGTGCCACCACCCCAAAACACCCCCAGCTCAGTGTCACCACCCCAAAACACCCCCAGCCCAGTGTCACCACCCCAAAACACCCCCAGCCCAGTGTCACCACCCCAAAACACCCCCAGCCCAGTGTCACCACCCCAAAACACCCCTAAGTTCAGTGTCACCACCCCAAAACACCCCCAGCCCAGTGTCACCACCCCAAAACACCACGAGGACAGTGCCAGCAGGACTCTGGGCACCAAACCATCCTCGGGTACCTCCTGTCCCTGCCACAGCCCCTCAAAGCCCCCTGTCACCCCCTCCCCGGGGTGTCACCCCCTCCCCCTCCCCGGCTCCTCATTAGCCCCATTTGCATGTTAATGACCTGTCTCCAAGTCAGGAGGTTTTTTTTCTTCCCATCTCGTGACTCCACTTCTCCTTCCTCCCTCGCCTCCCTGTTCCCGTGACAACCCCTCTTGTCACCTCTCCCGGGATGTGCAGCTCGGGAACACCCCAAAAGCCCCTCTGCAGCCCCCCCCCCCGCCCCGAGTCAGCACCGGGAGCCGGCAAAGGGGGTCCCTGGGGCCTTCCCCGTGCCCCCAGGAGGGGACGGAGCCCGGGGGCTCTTCCGAGACCCCCCCGGAGCAGTGGGAAGTGTTTGGGATCACAGCCGGGACCCTCCACCCCGCAGCCCCCCCGGGATCACTGTGGGGTGTCCCAGAGGTCGGAGTTTGCCGTGGGATTGAGGAGAGGGCAGGGCTGGGACCCCCAAGAGCCTGTGGGACCCCCCCGAGCCCCTCTGTCCTACAATGAGCCCCCGATGGGCCCCCCTAAAAGCCCCTCTGTCCTACAATTAAGCCCCCCAAAAGCCCTTCTACCCCCCCAAGGAACCTCTCAGTCCTACAAGGAGCCCCCCAGAGCCTCTCTGCTCCACGAGGAGCCCCCTGAGATCCCCCCACCAGCCCCGGTGCCCCCCGACAGCCCCTCCCCGGTACCGGGACGCCCCCTCCTCCCCCTCGCCATTCCCGGTTCGCAGCCGCTCTCGGGGCTCCCGGTCCCGCCGATGAACCGGGAGCGGGGGGTGGGGGTGGTCAGAGCGTTTAACGGGCCCGTCCCTACCCCGGGACTCCCCCGGGACAGCCCCGTCCCGTCCCCACCGGCGGCCGCGCTCCCGGGCTCGCGGCGGCACCGGGGCCCTCGCACAGGGGCCGGGGCCGTGTCTGAGCCCCGCCGAGGTGCCCCCGGGCCCCCCAAAGCCCCCCCGATCCCTCCGGTACCTCCCGGTGCCGGGTCCGGTCCCGCCGGGAGCCGCTTCCGGCCCCGCCGTCACCTCCGACCCCGGAAGGGAAACGGCGGCACCGACCATCGCTGGCCGCGGGGGGGGCGGGGGGGACCATTCACACCGGGGGGGACACTGGGGCTGGGAGAGACCATTGATATCATTGCGGGGGGGTCTGTGAAGCTGGGAGAGACCATTGTACATGGAGGGGGAATCTATGGGGCTGGAAGAGACCATTCACCATGAGGGGGTCAGTGGGGCTGGGAGATTCCATTCCCAAAGTGGGAGGGGGATCCGAGGGGTGAAGGAAAGACCATTCGCTATGGGGGGGGGGGAGGATGTCTGTGGGGTGAGGGAGGGAGAGACCATTCAGCACTGTGGGAGGCAGAATCCATGGGCCTGGGAGAGACCATTCCCAAAGGGGAGGTGGATCAGTGGGGCTGGGAAGGACCATTCTGCACACTGGGAGGGAGAGAGATGTCCATGGACATCTTGGACATGGACTTGGTCCTGCCCCATATCCCCCTTCTCTGGCCCCCAGAACACCCCCATCCCCTGCCCCACACCTCTGAGCTGTCACCACCCCCATATGGGGGTCGAGACCACCCAAACACAGGGGTCAGGACCCCCTATAAACAGGGGTCAGAACCACCCCCCCACCGGGGGTCAGGAGCCCCCCACATGGGGATCAGAGTCCCCCAGACACAGGGGTCAGGACCCCCCAAACACAAGGGGGTCAGAAAGCCCCAAACACAGAGGTCAAGACTCCCCCAACAGGCTCAGGAGCCCCCAAACAAAGGGCTCAGAAGCCCCCAAACAAGGAGGTCAGGACTCCTCCCACATGAGGGTCAGAGCCCCCCAAATCATGGGGGTCAGGACCCCCCCACTCGTGGGTCAGAGCCCCCCATCATCCCCCGCCATCCCAGCCCTCCAGTCACTCTCCATCCTCTGTACAGCCTTTATTGCGGGCAGGGGGCTCTGCTCGAGGGGGGGCCCGGGGGGGCACAACCCCGGGGGGGTTGGGGGGGCCCAGACCCCTCCAGCACCCGGGGGGTCCCTCCCCAGCCCCTACCCTGGCAGCCGGGGTTGGGGGTGGCACGAGGCCCGTGGGGAGGGGGTGGGAAGGGGCCTGGCATGGCCCGGCATGGCCCAGTTTGGCCCAGTACGGCCCAGTTTGTCCCGGCATGGCACGGCACGGCGCGGCACACGGCAGACGAAGCGCAGGCAGCGGGCAGGGGGGCGGCCGGGGGGGCACAGGCGAAGCTGCTGAGGCCGGATTTGGGGGGTGTTTGCTGGCGGGGGGGGCCGGGTCCCGGTGTCCCGGTGCCGGCTAACTGGTGCCCAGCGGGAAGGTGGGCGAGTGGCGCTCGGTGCCGATGGGGCGCGGGGGCACCTCGGAGAAGCCCACGTGTCGCCGCTCTGGGGACAAATAGGTGGGGTCACCGGGGACGTGGAGGCACCGGGGACACCGGGGGCATGGGGGACACACACCCCACGTACCCCCAGTGCCACCGTCCTGCTCCTGCCCCGGCTCCTCCTCGTCACCCTCGTCGCCCTCGGGGTCCTCGGGGATCTCAGACACCGTCAGCGCCTTCAGGTCCTCCTCGCGCTCGTCGATGCCGCCGGCGAAGGAAACCTTCTGCCCGCCTGTGGGGGGACAGGACGGTGGCCCTGGTGGCCGGGATGGTGGCCCCGCTGCAGCACGGGGGGGACGGAGCCCCCAGTCCCGGTGCCCGCCCGGCACCCCCAGGCGAGGGGATGCAGCAGTTGGGTGGGTGGGTGGGTGGGCACGGACCTTTGTGGTCCCTGTGACCCCATCATCCCCATCCCAATCCTCCCACCATCCCCATCTCCTTGCCCCCCCTGCCACACCCACCCCCCCACCACCCCTGTCCCCTCACTGTCCCCATCCTCTTGCCACCTCTGGCCCCCCACCATCCCTATCCCTCCACCGTGCTCATCCTCCTGCCACCCCATTACCATCCCCGTCACTCTGCCATCCCTGTCCCTCCCACTGTCCTCATCTTGCCATCTCCATACCTGTTCCCCCATCATCCCCATCCTTCCACCATCCCTGGCACCCCACCATCCCCTCACCATTCCCACCTTTGTCCTCCCACCGTCACCATCCCCTCACCATTCCCACCTTTGTCCTCCCACCATCCCCATCCCTCCACCATTCCCATCCTCCCACCACCCCTGTCCCCCCACCAACCCCATCCCTCCTCCATCCCCATCCCCTCTCCGTCCCCATCCCGTTACCTTTCCGCTTGTGCGCCTTGAGCCCCGCGGGGAAGTAGCTCCTCTCTCTGCCCTGGCTCCCCGGGGCTGCCCGGGCGGGGGTGGATGAGGCCGGGGCAGGGGGAGGCACGGCCGGCACCGGGGGCACCGCCGGTGCCGCGTCAGCCCGCGGCCGGGGGTCCCGCTGGCGTCACCCGGCCCCGCGGGGGACAGGGACACGGCCCGGCGGGTGAGTGGGCAGCAGGGACGCAGGGACGGGCAGCAGGGATGGGCAGCACCGGCAGCAGCCAGTCTGTGTCCTCCCCGCCCCCCTGGGCACCTCCCCTGCCCCCGAGGGCTACAGGGGATGATTGTCCCGGTCCCTGCTCCAGCAGCCCTGTCCCCATCTCCGCGTGCCCCCCCGGGCTCCAGAAATCCTGTCCCCGTGTTCTCTGGGCTCCAGAAGCCCCGGCCCCACAGCCCAACATCCCCTGGGCTCTGGTACCCCCATCCCCCTGTCCCCGTGTCCCTTGGGCTTTGGCACCCCAGTCTCTGTGTCCCCACATCCCGTGGGTTCCAGCAGCCTCATCCCCACATCCCCTGGGCTCCAGGATCACTGTCCCTATGTCCCCCAAGCTCTGGCATCCCTGTCCCTGCATCCCCTGGGGTCTGGCATGCCCATCCCCATGGCCCCTGGGCTCCGGGACCCCCATCCCCACGTCCCCCCCATGCCCCAGTCTCCCTCAGCCCCGCCCCCGTGCCCCCCTCACCAGACTCGAGGCCGCTGTCGGGGTCGCAGCCGTGCTCCCCGTCATCGGGCTCCCCGTCGGAGCTGTCCCCCCCTCCCAGGCCGCTCTCCTCCAGGTGGGACTGCACGATGCGCTGCACGGCTGGGGACACGCTGGTGTCACCACTGGGCACTGAGAGCACTGGGGTCTCCCCCCCAGAGGGACCCCGACCCCCTTGTTCCCCCCAGTGCTCCAATGTCCCCCCCCAGTGCCCCAGTGTCCCCCCGGGTGGTACCTTTGAGCGAGGGTGGGGTGTAGGCACACGGGTTGGTCCTCTTTGGTTTGAGCAGGCAGCCCTCGCCCGAGGAGCGCTGTGGGGGGAGCAGCTCTGGGATGGGGGGTCCTGGTGTCCCCCCCACACCAGAGGAGCCAGAGGGAACCAGGACCCCCCCAGCCAGGTGGGTGCTGTGATGGGGGGGTCTCACGATGGGGCCCCAAGGCAGACACAGCCCCCCCCCCCATGGGGACGTGGTGTTGGGGACCCCCGTTGTGGGGACCCTGCCATGGAGACCCTGGGTTTGGGGCCCAGCCGTAGGGACATGGCATTGGGGACCCCACTGTGGGGGCCCCTCCATGGGGACACGGCACTGGGGACCCCCTGATGGCCACAGGGCCGTTTGCACTGTGGCCAAACCCCACAGCCTGGCTCGGCTCCGTGTCCCTGTCCTGTGTCCCCGTCCTGTGTCCCCGTTCTGTGTCCCCGTTCTGTGTCCCCGTCCCCAGCGCTGGCACCGTGTGCCCGTCCCGGGAGGGAGCCGATAAGCACCAGGCGCCAGGGCTGGGCCCCGATAACCCCCGGGGGACACGGGACAGGGGGACAGGGCTGTGTTAGGGAGGGGGTCCTGGTGCCCACTCACCTGGTAGGGCAGGTTCTCGTCCTCTGGGTTGGCGGTGCCAGGGAGAGAGGGGTGAGTGTGAGGGGGGCTGCTGGCACCCCTGAGCCCCTGCTCCATGGGTTATCCTGCCACAGCGTCCCCTCCCTGCCACCCCATTCCATATGTGGCACCCTGTCCCCTCCCCACCACCATGTCCCATCCCAGACATCCCATTCCACGGGGGACACCACATCCCACCTACCACCACGTCCCCTCCCTGCCTCCATGTCCCACCCCAGACATCCCATAGCGTGCAGGACACCGTGTCCCCTCCATGCCAGCATGTCCCATCCATGACATCCCGTTCCACAGGGGACACCGCATCCCATCCCTGCCACCACGTCCCATCCCAGACATCCCATAACATGCAGGTCACCGTGTCCCACCCCTGCCACCACCTCCTGTCCCTCGATCAGACGTCCCCTGCCCCGTGTCCCAGCCCTGCCCCGTGTCCCACCCGTGTCCCTCTCACCTGGGGAGGAGTGTTCGGAGAGCTGGAAGAGCATGGCCGGCGTGGGCCTCCTCCGGCGGATCTGGGGCACAGCGGGGTGTCACAGGCTGGGGACGCCCCGGGTCCCCTGTCCCCTGCCCTGCGCCCCGGACACACGTGTCTGCACGTGTGTGAGGGTGTGTGTGGGAGCGGGGACACGGACTCACCCGCCCCGGGGCCCCCACGCTGTCCCCGGTCCCTCCCAGCCCCACGAGAGCCCCAGCTCCTGCCGGGCCCCTCCGGGAGGGCTCCGGGTCCCGCGTGTGCTGGGAACGTCCCCTCGGATCAGGCACAACCAGTGGGGGTGGCTCTACTGTCCCCCAGCGTGTCCTGTCCCCTCCGTCCCGTCCCGTCCTCATCCTGTCCCCTCCATCGAATCCCTTCCCTCCTGTTCCCTCTCTGTCCCTGTTCCTGCCCTGTCCGCCTCTACAACTCTCCCTCCGCGGGACCGCGGCTCCCACGGGGACCTTGGAGCTCTCTCCTTGTCCCATCCTGTGTCCCCCATCCAATCCCGTCCCCTATGTCCCCCCCGTCCCGTGCCCTGCCCTCTCCGATCCCCCTTGTCCTGCTCTGCCGGTACCATCCCCTCCCTCCTGTCCCCTCTGTCCCCTCCGATCCCCCTTGTCCTCCTCCCCGGTTCCATCCCCTCCCTCCCCTCTGTCCCCTCCCACCTCCCCCTTGTCCCATCCCATCTGCCCCAACACACCCCTCACGTCCCCTCTGTCCCCTCCGATCCCCCTTGTCCTGCTCTCCCCGTCCCATCCCGTGCCTCCTGTCCCTTCTGTCCCCTGTCCCATCCCCTCCAATCCCCCTCGTCCCGCTCTCCCGCCCCACCTTGTCCCCTCCCGTCCCCTCCGACCCCCCTTGTCCCATCCCGTCTCTCCTGTCCCCTCCAATCCCCCTTGTCCCATCCGCTTCCTCCTGTCCCCTCTGTCCCCATCCCATCCCGCTGTCCCCGTCCCTTCCCGCCCCACTCCAGCCCCCCCCCGGGGCTCTCCAGCGTCCTCCCCTCATCCCCCCCGGTTACCCCGGGGGTCCCCGCACCCCTCTTTCCCCCCTCACCATCTCGACGGCGCGGGGGTCCAGCTGGCTGGGGGGGGCCGGCACGGAGAACTGGATCTTCTTGCGCTCCTTGGGGTCCATGGCCTTGGCCGGGAGTCACCGGAGCCGGGGGGTCTCTGCCGCCGGTACCGAGCGGAGTTCGGTGGCGCCCGGGGCTCGGTACGGCGAGGAATGAGAGTGGCGGGAGGTGGGGAAGGCAGAGCCGGTGAGGAGGAGGAGGAGGAGGAGGAAGGAGAGGGAGGGAGGACACGTCTTCCTACCAGGCGCTGAATTATTCATCCCCCCCTCCCCGGGCAGGGGGGCTGAGGCCGCGGTAATGAGCCCTTGGGGAGCCCCTCAGGGGGTTCAGCCAACCCGTGGGGGGTCCTTAACCCCTTCCCTGCCGTGGGGGACCCCCGGCTGCGGTGGCGGGTTGGGATGGGACAGGGACGGGTATCTCCATGTCCCTTGTGCCTCGGTCTCCCCCCGGGCGGGGGTGGGCAGGGGGTGGGGGTCTGGCCGCTCCCACCCTTGGGTGGGCAGTGGGAAAATCTCCTCCCGGGCTGCTCTGTGCTGCACGGGACAGGGACACCACTCCGGGGATATGGCCAGGGGACATCCGTGGGGACATGGGACCCCCAAAACATCCCATCACCTGCGTGCTGGGGGTCCCCCCACCCCCAGCTGCAGCCCCTGCGACGCTGGAGGAAGGGGGCTGTGCCCTCACCCAGGCTGTGCCCACCTGCCCCGGCTCTTCCCTGGCCCTCAGTGATTTTCCCCACAGAAAATCCCATGAAAAGCCAATTTTTTCCCCCCCGGGGAAGTGGGGGCTCAGCCCCCCAGGGCACTACTTGGCACCGGTGCTGCACATTCCATACAGGGGGGGCCTGGGGCGTCAAAGGCATCTCTCTGGACCCCGCTGAGGGGGCACAACCAGGGGGGTCCCTGTGCAGGGGGACAGCAGGAGCCGGAGAGGTGGCTCGTCCCCTCCCGGGACGTCCTGGGGCAGTGGCCGTGGAAACCGCCCCTGAGCAGGAATGAGGAAGGGGGAGCTGGGAACTGGCTCCGTCCCCCGGATCTCCCGGTGCTCCAACGGCTGCGGGTGGCCCCGGGCCAGCAGCCACCGCTCCAGCAAAATATTTACCCGAGTGGCACCGAGCCATGGACCAGCCTCCCGCCCGCCCGGCACCACGCGGCACAGCTCGGCAAAACACGGCAAAGCTCGGCTCTGCCTGGCAAAGCTCGGCTCTGGGGGACAAATCGTGGCTCTGGGTGACAAATCGTGGCTCTGGGTGGCAAATCTTGGCTCCGGGTGAGAAATCTCAGCTCTGCGTGACAAAGCCCAGCTCTGGGTGATAAAACTCGGCTCTCTGGGTGACAAACTTGTGCCTGTGGCACAAGCGCAGTGCCCACCTGGGGACATCCCAGGGCCCGGCACCAGCACAGCCCAGTGTCCCCACAGAGGCCAAGACTTGGGGACAAGGGAAGGGAGTCCCTCGGTTACCCCCTGCCCAAGCTGGCCCCGTGCCAGGCATCCCCCGTGCCAGGCTCCGAGCATCACCCCCATCCCGGGACCCGGGTCGTTATGGCAACAGGTTCCCGGGCTCCATCCCGCTGCCTGTTCCCGCTTCTCCCACCCACGAGGACGCCGTGTGAGGGGGTGGCCGGGCCCCCTCCCCTCCCCTCCCCTCCCTGCGCTGCGGCAGCGCCGGCACCCGCAGCCCCCCGGGATCGGCACGCGCCGCCCGCGCCCGCGCCCACGCTCGGAGCACCCGCGGGTGGCACCTGCAGCGTGGCACGGGGGGGCCACACCGGGCCTGCAACACGGCAGGGGGGTGGGCACCTTCCAGGCACACGTGTGGCACACATGGTGGCCCTGCTCTTCACTGGGACGGCCTCGTAAGGGGACCGTGGGCACCCGCGCCGTGCCCGTGCCCGTGCCGTGCCAGTCCCCGTGCCCGTGCCGTGGAGCTGCGGGGGCTGCAGCTCTGTGCAGCAGCGAATCCTCCCTCTGAGAAGAGTAAAAATAGCAGCAGGTTGAGGGAAGAAGCTCTCACCCCCCCGCCAGCGGGCACCGGAGAGGAGCCACAGCCACGGGGACGGACATGGCGCGGGGGCACAGGGACAGGGGGCGATGGGGAGGGGGCGTCGTGGGGACAGGGGGACACGGGGGCAGAGGGCTGTGGGGATGGGGAATTGTGGGGTCGGGGTGACACCAGGGCAGGGGGCTGTGGGGATGGGGCGTCGTGGGGACAGGGTGCTGTGGGGACGGAGGACACCCCCGTGGGGATGGGGACAAGACGGGGACAGAGCTGGGGACGGAGCGTCGCGGCGATGGGACACACCAGGGATGGAGCACTGCGGGGACAGGGAATCAGCGGGGCAGTGGGGACAGGGGGCCCTGTCGATGGAGCATCGCGGACACAGGGCACGCTGGGGACAGGACAGAGCGACGTGGTCATGGGGTGCACCAGGGACGGAGGGTTGTGGGGACAGGACGTCATGGGGGCAGGGTGGGGACGGGGTGCCGTGGGGACAGGGCCCTGCGGGGACAGGGCATCCTGGGGACGGGCACAGCGGGACGATCGCCCGGTCCAAGGGTGAGTGTCGGGGGGCGGGGCCTGTCTGTGAGGGGGCGCGGCCAGAAGGTGGGCGGGGCTCTGTCAGGGCAGGGGCTGTCGGGGGGCTCCGGGACCCCCCCAGTGCCCCCCACGCCTGTACCCCCCTCCGGATCCCCTGCCCGGCCCTGCGGGGGTGTCCCCACCCAGTCCCTGTGTGTCCCCCCTTGGGTGAGCCCCCCAAGACCCTCCGCACCCCAAGACCCACGGTGGGCGCCCCCTCACCCCACCCCGGAGCTGCAGCGGGGGCGGCGGGTGGGGGCCGGTGCTCCCCCCGGGGCGCAGGGGAGGAGCCGGGAGTGGGAACACGCGTGGGAAGCAGAGCACGCGTGGGAACCCGGGGGGGGGGGCGCGCGGGGGGCTTAACCCCTTCCCTGCCGGGAGCCCCCCATGAGACCAGCCTGGGGGGGCTGCAGAGGAGAAGGGGGGCCTGCGGGGGGACCCTCCCCAAATGGGGCTCCACGGGGGGGGCTGGGGAGGGGGCACCCAGGCAGGGGCACTGGGCAGCACTGGGAGGTGCGGTGGGGAAGCTGGGCAGCGCTGGCAGGACTGGGGGGGCTGCACCCCCATAACCCACCACGACGAGGGGGCTGCGACCCCCTATCCATGGAAAAACGCAAGGGCTCCCACCCTGGCATAAGGAGCAGCTGCATGCCCGCATTCCTGGTGGGACAGAGGGTTGTGACCCCACAGCTGGCAGGATGAGGGGGGGGTCCCATCCCTGCAGCCCAACAGGGTGGTCGGGAGGCTGTGCCCTCCCTGCCTCCCCCCGAGCTGTGCCCGGTGCCCCCCATGCCCTCACCAGCCCCGTGTGCCCACGGTGACAGATGTCACTCCCGACGCTGGCATGGCCGGGCTGGCACGGCCACCTGGGCTGGGCACTGGCTCAAGGGCTTTGGCAGGGGGTGGTCGGAGCAGAGGCACGGCTGGAGATGTCCTGCTTGGCAACCACCAGTCACCGGCCACTGGCCCACGCCAGGCCTCACACCCACAGCAGGGGGTGGGATGGGGCGCTGGGGGCACTGGGGGGTCCTGGGGCAACAGCCCCGGGGTGGGGACCCACCTGGGCAGGGGCTGGGATAGTTTAGGGTCAGCCTGGCTGAAAGGGGGAAACCTTGGAGGGGGAAATTTTTGGGGGGAATATTGGGATGGGTATGGGGGGGACAATTCCAGAGGGTCCCAGGAGGGAAGGGGTGCAGCCTGGGGGTCTCCTCTGCCTGGGAGACACCACGCTGGCCGTGCCTCAGTTTACCCACCTGTAACACGTGCCCTCCACACCCCAAAGCCCCCCCCCGCCCCCTTCCCTGCGGAGGTGAGACCCTGGGAGAACCCAAAACCCATCCTGGCGCTCCCACGGCGCCCTGCCAGGGTGGTCTGCGGGGGGGCTCCTAGCCCTGCTGCCCCCAGCCCATCTCTGACCCCCCCCGGGGTGGCCAGGCCGCCAGCACAGACCAGTTTGCTGCCTCCATTCCCAGAAGAAAGAATAAAGTTAAAACATCTGTTAATTTATAAACCAATTTAACCATGACTGGTTAATAAATAGCTTCCAGCTGGCACCCCCAACCCGTGCCGGGCGAGGGGGACCGGGGGGGGCACAGCCGGGCTTGCTGCTCTCCCACAGCCCCCCCGGGGTCATTGTCACTTGTCCCCGTGGGGGTGTCCCCGGGGTCCCTGGGGATTCACCGTGAGAGCCTGGTGCCCGCCTGGGGGGGGCATGACCATGGTGCCTGGCACAGGGGGGTCCTGGGGGGATGTAGGGGCTGGGATGGTGCCCATGGGGGGGTCTCTGGTCATGCGAGGTGGGGGGGGATGTGGGGACACAGGGTCCTGGTGTGGGGGCTGCCCTGCTGCGGGGGGTGTTTGGGGATGGGGAGGTGGGAGGGCTGAGTGCAGGGAGGTGTGTGTGTGCATGTGCATGTGTGTGTACATGTGTGTGCATGTATGTGCCAGGATGTGCTCGTGTGTGCATCTGTGTGAACGTGTGTGTGTGTGTGTGTGTGTGTGTGTGTGTGTGTGTGCCAGGGCTGTGCACGTGTGGGCATCCGTGTGTGTGCACAGGAGTGTATGTGTGTGTATGTGCATGTACACGTGTGGTGTGCCAGGGATGTCCACGTGTGTGCATCCATGTGTGAGCATCCAAGAGTGTGCACATGTGTGCACGTGTGTGCGCATGTGTGACCCGTGTGTGTCCCACCCCAGCAGGGCCAAGCAGGGCCCCCCGTCTCTCCTGCCATCCCCACGGATCCAGGGGCTGGTGACGTGTCCCCGGCCCTGTGGAGCACCACCCTCGCTGCTCATGGATCCAGGATGGATGCGCTGGAGAAGGGCCTGCCACCGGCACTGGGGGGTCCCCACTCCTGCCCCCCACCCCTCTCCAGAGGCCGGGGAGTCGTGGATCTGGGGCAGGAGCCCCTTCCCGGCCGCGGCGCCCGACACGTGTCGCAATAGTAATGTAATTTGTCCGTTAACAATGGGCAGCTTGAGGTTTATATTTAATTACACCGATCGCACCAACCTGAACTCACCCTTATTCATCAATAATGCATGGGTTTGTGTTTATCGCTGCTTAATTAATCTGTGCTTACGACAATTAAAGGCTCGCAAAATCCCCCAAGGTGGCAGCGGGGAGCGGCTGCGCCGGGCTGGCACGAGCGCCGT